GACTCACGCAAGGAATAAGTAACTGGGAAGGGAGAAGACAAGGGAAATCTGGAAGAAAAATGGAAAAGGAAAAATTAAAGGTTTTGTTAACTTTTTTGAGTCTTAACACTTCTGTCTCTCATCTCTGTCTCTCTCTCACACACACACACACACTCTCTCTCTCTCCCTCCCTCCCTCCCTCCCTCCCTCCCTCCCTCCCTCCCTCCCTCCAAACTTAATAAAACTTTACATATGGATGAGAAATTAATTCTGAAGAACTGAGGTGATGTGGGCTGAAAACACCTCTTATTCTCTCTGCCCTTACCTCTCTCTCCTCCTTGTTCTCTCTTTCTCTTCTTCACCACCCTCCCATTTTCTTTGTCGCTGCCCTCTGCTATTTGTTTTCCAGGGAAATGACCATGTTTTTGCTTGGCTAGCCCATTTGCCTAAGAAGTACGTTTAGTCTTTAGAAGAGTTTGGGGAAAACCAAGGGTGCAGAGCTAGACGGCCTCATGCCACCTTCTCGATAGGAAATGTGCCACAGACTGCCTTTTCCCCAAAAGAATGAGACTGTCTTGCTCTAATGAAACTTGTTGGACTGCGAGTTGTTTTACTCCTTGAGTTCTAAAAGGGAACCTGTGGGCTGAATTCAGCGCATCCCATTAGCACCACACAATGTTTTATTTTAAAAAATTGCTAACATTAAAATTTTGATAGATCTTTGCATTAAAAAAATCTGTATTTCTGACTCCTCTTCAAAAATGAAGACTTGACAGTTCTGGGCAAAGCTTCCTGCAGAGCAGCAATGCTTTGGCATCGGGAAACACTACTTCATTAGACGGGCCACGGTTTCCACGGTGCCGCAGCCTCTACTGCCCTACGACTCCCGTGGTGCCAGCTAATGGTTTCCAGCATCTGTTCTGATGAGTCTGGCCTGTGCCCCGGGGCTGTTCACCTCCTTGGATACCATCCCTGGACTCTGTCCAGGTCACTCCTCTGGACTCACCAGCCAGACTCATCGGCCCCTGTGGGTGTTACAGCTTGCAGCCCCTTTATTACTTGCTTGCAGTCAGTGTTGCTGGTTGCAAAACATCTGTGACAATTGAGTTGTTTTACACTTGTCTGAAGTGCAGTGGTGTGGAGAGGAGGCAATGCTCTGACCTCAGACCCCCTCTTCTCATCACTGGCCACCCATGAACCCTGGCTGGCTCTAGAGTGAATGAGACACGTATCACTTTACTCTGTCAGCCTTTCTGCCAGGACTCATTGTGGCCATTTACAAATGGAAAGAATAGGAAGGATTTATTGTCCTCAGGGTTTATTTTATCAAGATGAGGATTCTGAACTCACATCTGTTCTTTGTATAACAGATGTTATTTCCTTGTACAATTTTCTTTCCCAGATGACTTGAATAACAAGTCAGTGAGGTTTCCTCCTCTTCATGGAATGAATATCCTAGATTTTAGGGGAAAAAAGCACAGGAGTGAAAATGAATAGTTTTGATTTTTGCATTTCAGATTCTTAATATTATATCTTAATAGTCTAGCACCGTCCCCACTGGAAATCAGCTGAAGTCAGGCATTACTTTCTAACATGCTACTTGATTTAGATAGGGTTACTTTATTTAGATAGTAACAAGGTACTTAAGTTATTGTTTAGATACTTCTCTTTAGCTCATATTACAAAGTTAACTTTGTTCCTGGCTTACCTTTTGAACTTGTGTACGTAAAACTGAAGGGACAGATGCAAACTGAAAAGTGGAACCATGATCTGGACATGTACAGATGTTTGCCACCCTGTGGACAAAAATTCCCATGTTAGATGGAGGGCATCAGTTTGGTCTGCAAGTGTGCTGTGCTCATAACTACCTATGGCACTTCAACTGTAAAAGCAGCTCTTAAAATATTTCTAAAGGAATACAGATTGAAAATTCAAATAGAACAAAAAGATAATGTAATATAAATATTCTTACACCTCCCGCTCAGTTTTTCCATTTTTTCACTCCCCAGATACCAATATTGGTTTCTGGGCTGTCTATCCAGACACCTCTCTCTGTCTTCTTTTCTCCATCCCTGCCCTAAAGCAATTGTATTTTACACAAAGAGCTCATTGTATACACATTTTTCTCACTTAAATTTTTAAAAACTAAACAATGTGAATTAAAGAACATGCCATCTCAGTGCATTTATGAACCTTGGAATTCGTCCCAGCTGTACTCCAGGCCAATGTGTGGATGTGCCATATTTAGCGACTGCTCTGTAGATGAGCATTTAGGCTGTTCTCAGGTTTCTGATACTATTAAAACATTCTGCAACAAACCAGCCTTGCTTAGAGGCCTTTAATCATATGTGTGAGAATATCTCTAGAATAAATTCCTAGGAGTGGAATTAGTAGATCAAAGGGAAGGTACAGTTAAAATTGGGAGAGATATTGCCGAATTACCCATCAGAAAGGATGTACTGGTTTGAACTCCCATCAAGAACTTGCCAGCTTAATATAGCTCACTTTCTGCCTGCCAGTCTAATAGGCTCACTGTTGTTTAATATACTTTTTAAACTTATGAGCAAGGTGGGCATCGTTTAATATATTTGTACATAACTTGTATTTCTTTTGCATTAAACTATTTGATTATCTCCTTTGCCTCAACATTCTGCGGGTTCTTTTTAATAGCAGGAGTTTTATGAATATAATACATTAAATACTTCTAAAAAGAATCAGTACATGTCTGTAATATTTATTATATAAACATCACTCCTGGGTTTGATTTTGCTTGGATTTTTTTTTCTGCATAGAAAATTTAAAAAGGTATGTTGTTAAAAGTGTAGCCTGTTTTCTGCAGAAGCTTTTGTGTTTGATTTTATTACATGTAAATTTTGATCTATCTACAGGTTGTTCTGGTATAAAGAGTGAGGTTAGGATCTTAAATTTTTCCAGGTGGTGAACTGGTTCCAGGACCTTTGTGGAATAATATTTCTCCTCTAATTTAAAAGACCACCTCTGGGGCCAGGCGCATCGGCTCATGCCTGTAATCCCAGCACTTTGGGAGGCCAAGGTGGGTGGATCATCTGAGGTCAGGAGTTTGAGTCCAGTCTGTCAAGCATGGTGAAACCCCGTCTCTACTAAAAATAAAAAAAATCATCCAGACATGATGGTGGTTGCCTGTAATCTCAGCTACTCAGGAGGCTGAGTCAGGAGAATCGCTTGAACCCAGGAGGCGGAGGTTGCAGTGAGCCGAAATCGTGCCACTGCACTCTAGCCTGGGCGACAACAGCAAAACCCTGTCCCAAAAAAAAAAAAAAAAAAGGACTACCTTTATCACAAACTAAATTTCCATATGTACTTGGTGTCTTTGTGGTCTTTTCTGCCACAAAGATGGCTCCGTGTGTAACTGTGAGCCATCTTTATTGTTGCAGTTGTACGCCCTGACTTTCGTTGTGAGTGCTCATCTCCTCTCTTTACCGTCTTCTGCTTTTCCAGATTTTCTTTTTATATAAACTCAATAATCAGGTAACTCTCCCACAAAAATTCTCAGTATTTTTACAACAAATTTCCTAATACTCATAGATTCAAGTGTAGTTTATGGCATCGAGTCGGCTTTTCCATGAATAGTCATTGAATCCTTCATGCATTCAAGGCTTCTTTCACATCCCTCAGAATTATTTTTTGTTTTTTTTTTTAAAAATCTTGTACAATTCTTATTCGTGTGTTTGTAAATATTTTCTTTTTGTTGGCTTCATTTATAAGTGAGAACTTTTTTGGTAGCATTGTTGTTGGAATACAGGAAAGCAGTTGACATTTGTGTGTTAAATTTGTATAAGCCTCCTTGCGAAATTCTTTCCTTGTTCGTCATAGTTTTTCACTTACTAAATTCTTTTCTTATTTGTAATAGTTTTCCACTTTGGTTATCAGGCATACATCATTTGAAAATAATGATCTTACTATCTCTTCTCTAAAAAGTTTCATTTAGAACAAGGAATAACACAAAGATTATTAGTTTGTACTTTTCTGTGATTCAGCAGTCATTTGGGCAGCTGCTGATGATGTAGTCATCTGGACCGTTATTTCCACTTCTGGGAATGAATCACGGAGGACTAATCCAAGAGAAGAATAAAATTGTATGCATAAAGCCACTCATGCCAGTGCCACCTGGACGAGTAAGGAAGGGAAACTGTCGATTGTTCATTAGCAGGGGAATGTTCAGACCTGTTACGGTGCAGACCCAGACTTAACTATGAGGGCTAGCTAGAAACAAAGAAATAATTCCTATAGCATTCAGTGAGAAGAGCAGATTAGAAAATAATATACCTGGATAAAGTTATGTTTACTCAAAGTACGGTGGTCATGGAGGAAATTTGGAACTGAGTAATGCTTAGTGTGGAGGAGGCGTGGAGGGAAACAGAATGACAGGATCGCACTCGGAAGGTCTTGTCTGTGAGTATTGCATCTACAGTGAACTGCTGCTGTGATTTTGTGCAAGACTTTCATTTCTTGTCTTTATGAATAGGCCAATAATTCAATTCTCTTATAAATTATTATTACAATGAAATGAGGAAGTGTTTGTTAATGCTTCAGTGTTTGGCATACTATTCATGTTAGTTTTTTTCCTCTTTTAAAATGACTTTTACCTGCATTGTTTTGTGTGATTACAATTAGATATTAACTCTAATACAATGGTAAATGACAGTAGGTTATGGAACATTCTTATCTTTTTCCTGACATGAATGGGCATGCCTCTAGTGTGTCACCAGTAAGCACAGTGGCTTCTGTTTTCATGCGGTAAGAGGCATCTGTTCCTGTTTACCCTGTTTTGTCCAGTTAAGAAACTATTTGCCATCTTCTGATTGAAGAGTTTCTTTTTTTAACCAATAGTGTGTATTGGATTATTAAACACGCTTTCAGTATCTCCCATAGCCCTAGTGATCCTTTACTCTTCCTCCGCAATGCGTATGCCAAGCAGTTCTAATCCTGTAGTTCTTTCCTTCCTAATGATGATTTAAAACTTTTTTTCTTTTTTCCCCAAGGATTTCAGGTCTTGGCATCTGCTTCCCATTACTGGCCACTGGAGAATGTGGATGGAATCCATGAACTTCAGGATACAACTGGAGGTAGAGACACAGGTGCTGAGAGTGGTTGTGTGCCTGGGAATCCCAGGGCCATGGGGGACATGGGTGCTGAGAGTGGTTGTGTGCCTGGGAATCCCAGGGCCATGGGGGACATGGGTGCTGAGAGTGGTTGTGTGCCTGGGAATCCCAGGGCCATGGGGGACATGGGTGCTGAGAGTGGTTGTGTGCCTGGGAATCCCAGGGCCATGGGGGACATGGGTGCTGAGAGCGGCTGTGCCTGGGAATCCCAGGGCCATGGGGGACATGGGTGCTGAGAGCGGCTGGGCCTGGGAATCCCAGGGCCATGGGGGACATGGGTGCTGAGAGCGGCTGTGCCTGGGAATCCCAGGGCCATGGGGGACATGGGTGCTGAGAGCGGCTGGGCCTGGGAATCCCAGGGCCATGGGGGACATGGGTGCTGAGAGTGGTTGTGTGCCTGGGAATCCCAGGGCCATGGGGGACATGGGTGCTGAGAGTGGTTGTGTGCCTGGGAATCCCAGGGCCATGGGGGACATGGGTGCTGAGAGCGGCTGGGCCTGGGAATCCCAGGGCCATGGGGGACATGGGTGCTGAGAGTGGTTGTGTGCCTGGGAATCCCAGGGCCATGGGGGACATGGGTGCTGAGAGTGGTTGTGTGCCTGGGAATCCCAGGGCCATGGGGGACATGGGTGCTGAGAGCGGTTGTGTGCCTGGGAATCCCAGGGCCATGGGGGACATGGGTGCTGAGAGCGGCTGGGCCTGGGAATCCCAGGGCCATGGGGGACATGGGTGCTGAGAGTGGTTGTGTGCCTGGGAATCCCAGGGCCATGGGGGACATGGGTGCTGAGAGTGGTTGTGTGCCTGGGAATCCCAGGGCCATGGGGGACATGGGTGCTGAGAGCGGTTGTGTGCCTGGGAATCCCAGGGCCATGGGGGACATGGGTGCTGAGAGCGGTTGTGTGCCTGGGAATCCCAGGGCCATGGGGGACATGGGTGCTGAGAGTGGTTGTGTGCCTGGGAATCCCAGGGCCATGGGGGACATGGGTGCTGAGAGTGGTTGTGTGCCTGGGAATCCCAGGGCCATGGGGGACATGGGTGCTGAGAGTGGTTGTGTGCCTGGGAATCCCAGGGCCATGGGGGACATGGGTGCTGAGAGCGGCTGGGCCTGGGTATCCTAGGGCCATGGGGGACATGGGTGCTGAGAGTGGCCGTGGGCCTGGGAATCACAGGGCCATTGGAATACATGAGTGCTGAGAGCAGCTGTGGGCCCAGGAATCCCAGGGCCATCAGGAGACACGGGTGCTGAGAGTAGCTGGGCCCAGGAATCCCAGGGCCATTGGGGGACATGGGTGGTAAGAGTGGCTGTTGGCCCAGGAATCCCAGGGTCATCGGGGGAGCAGATGTGAACAGAATCAGCTTTGAAGCCAGGGCAATAGAGATGAACAAATACTTGCATAACTTCCCGTCATAATTATTTCAAAGCTTTTTAAATTTTGTAGAGATGTGGTCTTGCTGTGTTTCCAGGCTGATCCCAAGCTCCTGGCCTCAGCAATCTTCTTGCCTTGGCCTTCCAAAGTGCTGGAATGACAGGCGTGAGCCACTGTGCAGGCCACAAAGTATTTTACTAGAACTTTTATAGAGAGAGCTATGACATATTGAATGGCAGAGTTTCTGATTCAAATACAATTAAAATGTGCATTTTCCCCAACAACCTTGAAACAGAAGCTGCCATGAGGATGCCTCTGCGTCCAGGTCCAGGTGTCTCTCTTCCAGGTGGAAAGGACAGTTGTCATCTGCATGCTGGCCAGGGCAGGGGCCTATTTGAAGCAGATATCTGAGGTCATGAAAACTAAGACCAACTCATGTGCGAAGGGCCCCGTTGCGTTCAGCAAATGCACCACCTACCAATCAGCTTCTCCACACATCAGCTTCGTTTGAAAAGATTAAGCATTGCCTGAGATGTTTCCGATGAGAGCCAATTCCAAAAAGACTCTGAGTTAATTCAGACACTTGCTGGTAGGAGAAACCTCACATATTCCTGGGTATTTTTTCCCCTTCCTAATAAGGACTTTTAAGAACTGTTGAGCCAGGCGCACTAGCTCATGCCTGTAATCCCAGCACTTTGGGAGGCCGAGGCAGGTGGATCACCTGAGGTTGGGAGTTTAAGATCGGCCTGATCAACATGGAGAAACCCCGTCTCTACTAAAAACACAACAATTAGCTGGGTGTGGTGGCACATGCCTGTAATCCCAGCACTTTGGGAGGCCGAGGCAGGTGGATCACCTGAGGTTGGGAGTTTAAGATCGGCCTGATCAACATGGAGAAACCCCGTCTCTACTAAAAACACAACAATTAGCTGGGTGTGGTGGCACATGCCTGTAATCCCAGCTGCTTGGGAGGCTGAGGGAGAAGAATTGCTGGAACCCAGGTGGTGGAGGTTGCAGTGAGCTGAGATTGCACCATTGCACTCCAGCCTGGGCAGCAAGAGCGAAACTCCATCACAAAAGCAAAACAAAACAAAAAACTGTAAGCTTTGTATGACTTCGGATGGTTTTCCATTTTTATTGTCATTTACTGAGTGCTCTTGATTGTGTCAGATGGCTGAGGTATATGGCAAGGGTTTACTGTACAGCAGTCCTAGCACGTGCTTCAGTCCCTCCTGTTCTGGTTCTGTGGGAGGCATTTTCTTTTTAAAGCTGTATATTGCCGGTGACTGTGCTTTCCACACCAGCACACTGGCATTTTCCTTACTCCCGTGATTTAATGTGTTGCTGGACATCACTGCTGAAGCTTCTGAAATGTTTCCTTAAAAATTTTAAATTGAGAACCATCAGTGCTGCCTCTGCTGCTGGTGTTCTCACAGTTGAGGAGAGCGCGCTCCGTAAAGGGCTCTTGCATGGTGCCACGAGCTTCCTGCCCACATCGCTCTCGTCTGCCTGCCTCAAGGGCAGCAATATGGCCACAGTTGGAAACCACCCTAGAGCCAGATGTCTTTTCCAAATGGTTGGCCTGGCGGGGCTGAAAAAGCCCCTGTGAGAGTTTGTTTCACGACTGGCTCGGGTTCAAACAAACCATATTCTCTTGTAGGCATCTAGTTTTCTTTCCTCAAGGCCTTTATTTTAAAGCTGTGGGAAGGAGGTCGTTTCATCCGGTGGTAATGCATTCTTGAAACAGCTCACTGTTCCAGGACACAGCAACTAAGATGCTAGGAGTTGTTTCAAACAGGAGTGGGAATAACTATCCGTGTCTTTCTCTCCTCGCCCCTATGCCTGAAGTCATTGTAGTGGCTTCAATCAGTAACTCTCGGGGCTTTGAAACCTTTACCTATGAAACGTCCTTCTCCTGAGGTGATACAGTTACACAGATGCAGTTGCACACTGGCTGAGTTCTGTCCCTAATACATCAGTGTTGGTCCTGGACACTGCAATGGTGAAGGTTTCTCTGCACATCCCTCCTGGCGTTCTCTAGGCTGTAATGCTATGCTGGCATATTTCAGTTTGATTGCTGGCTTCTTAAGGGAAAAAAAGGAAAGAATAGACTCCATCAGCATGTTTTGCTGCTGGGGACAGGTGAATGGCTTTGGCAAGCCTTTTGAGGACATGCAGCTTTGTCCTTTGTTGCTGAATTCTCCGTTGTTTTGTCCACCTGTCATCATTTCATGCAGTCATTTTCATGCAGAGTATCTGTCTCATTGGTTCTTGTGACATTGTAACATTCATCCTTTTGTTGAGCCTGTGTATAAGTGGCCAAGTTCAATTTCATATCTCTCAACTAAGTATCTGCATAGGTGTTGGAGCTAGAAAATCAGAACTATTGCTTCTGGCCAAAGTCAGCAGCCATGACGCCCTGGCGTGGGAACTGAGTGGCCGGGCTGCTGACTAAAGTAAACAGGGTGGGTGGGGGTGTGAGGTCCAGACAGAAAGTCCTGCGTGCTCTTGGATGAAAGAGCCCCTCCTGCTGCAGCTTGAGAGATATGTTGGTCCCATTTGTCTTTTGTCTCACGTGCTGTGCTTTTTCTTTTTGTGTTTCACCCAGCGTCCCGAACCCACAAGCTCACTGTGCTTCCCTCCCGTAATTCCACCTTTGTGTATTCCAATGACTCTGCCTACTCAAATCTCTCTGCAACCGTAGGTGAGCATTTATGGACTTGTGTTCTTTGTTCTGTCACGTTCGGATCTACAATGAATCCTAAGGCCAATTCTATTTGGTAGTAGCTAAACTCACTATGTCTTGGCTAGCAAGCGAGCACATGTCCCAGTCAAGAGAGCAGATCCAGGTTGTTAAAGAATCACCACTAGGGTTAACTCTAAAGGAAGACTGCAGTACATTAGAACAGGGGTCCCCAGTCCCTGGGCCACAGACTGGTACCAATCTGTGACCTCTTAGGAACCGGGCTGCACAGAGGAGGTGAGCAGTGGGTGAGAGAGAAGCTTCATCTATATTTGCAGCTGCTCCCCATCACTCGAATTACCACCCGAGCTCCACCTTCTGTCAGATCAGCAGGGGCATTTGATTCTCCTGGGAGCAGCAACCCTATTGTGAACCGCGCATGCGAGGGATCCAGGTTGTGAGCTACTTATGAGAATCTCATGCCTGATGATCTGTCACTCTCTCTCATCACTCCCACACGGGACCACTAGTTGTAGGAAAACAAGCTCAGGGCTCCCACCGATTCTACATGATGGTGAATTGTAGAATTATTTCGTTATATGTTACAATATAATAATAATAGAAATAAAGTGCATGATAAATATAATGCACTTGAATCATCCCAAAACCACACCTCCCCCACCCTGTGCATGGAAAAATTGTCTTCCATGAAACTGGTTCCTGGTGCCACTGAAAAAGGTTGGGGACCACTGAACCAGAGGGTGTATATATTCTTTCAAATTCTCAGGGGTCTTCTAAGTCAGCTGCTTGTTTTCAGAACAAAATAGACAGAAGAGGATGGATTATCTTCTTTGGGGGAGGAAAAGCATACCATTTTAATGGAAAACTAAGGTTCATTTAAAAATACCTCATCAAACATTTGATTTCTTAGAAACATTAAAATCAGCATTTCTTATGTAGCTGAATTTAAAAAAATCATTGGAAGCTGTTTGTGAAACATACATCCATGAGAATCATGGCTAAATTACTGTCTTACTGGATAACCTCCAGAGCCTACATGGCTCATACTTTTCCTGTGAAGCTCAGAGCAACTGAGGCATTTTCTAGATCAGTGTAGAAGCCAGTTCTGACCCTGTCAGTCTTACCCTGTGATCCTTTTCAGCACATAAACTGACTGCTCTTTCAACTGGGAGATGACTGGTTTCCAAAATTAATGTTGCCAATCCAACAGTCTGACTTAGGGGTTTGTATAGCCTAGCTCGCTAACGCAACCGCAAGTGATCCATTTAACTTTGCAGTAAATAGGTCTCCCCCAGAAAGACGGGATCCAATGTAAAAGTGAGCCTAAAAGCAGGACGGAAAACCATGGAGGTCCCTCCAGTTGGTTATCCCTGTGACAGTGGAGCTAGAAAGTCTGAGCTGGGGTTGCTGTCAGGTCCACAGACCCTGTTAGCTCTCCCATGTGTCTTCAGCTGGGCTGACGGCTGCCAGAGGCTCAGGCATCCTTCTCCTCTGCCTGTTTGTTAGCAAAGATCTCTGAGCGACTGTGACCCCAGTTCCTAATAAATGCTTACTCACTCCTGATTTTTATAGTCTTCACTAATCTATGCTGTAAACCATTTACCCCACACCCTCACTGTCAGATACTTTGGCCATGGGGATGGGACATGACAAGATGATTGGATGGGCAGTGCCCCTCAGGATTTTCGGCCAGCTGGTCTTGTCACCTGTGGACTCTCCTGGGACTGTGCAAAATGTTACCTGAGGTTTTCCTCCTACCGCCTGAAGATGGGTTCTGCTAAAATCCCGAATCCATCTGTCTAGGATCAGGGGATTTCAGTTAAAACTCAAAAGGAGAAGGAATTCCGTTGCAGTTCCATGTTCACACTTGCCCTGAAATGTTCCACTTGGAACACTCCGCGTGAGGACGGGAGTGGGGAGGGCTCAAAAGCTGGCCGGTGCAAAGTCCAGGAGAGGAGGCTATTATCACACCAAGCTTGGTAACCCATCTGTTGGCAAATATCACAATTATCACATCATCATACGACATGATATGCAATGTGAAATGCGTATGCAAAGGTCTGTATGCGTTTGTATATAATCTGTGCTTATTATACACAAATGTGAATATAATCAGTGTTAATGTTTAGTCTAACACACATTATTTAGAATTTAATTACTAATTAAATATTACTGATGCTATGAATATTAAAATAGAATAATATATGGTGTTATAAATGTATAATTAGAAAATAATACTGCATATGTAGACATAAGTTATTTGTAGGTCTGACACACATCTTCAGACTTTTAATCTTGGAAGGTTATTAACATATGATGTTGTCATTTTTCTTCCTTAGATATTGTGGAAGGGAAGGTCAACAAAGGCATTTACCTGAAAGAGGAAAAGGGAGTCACGCTTCTCTATTACGGCAGGTACAATAGCTCCTGCATCAGCAAGCCGGAGCAGTGTGGCCCTGAAGGTGAGCGGCTGATCCCTGCGGCATCTTTACATGCATTTCATTGTCAGGGGGGACCTGCTCCTCTGGTAACTGGCAGATGTGAACCTGAGGTTCTCATCAGTTGCAGAATGTGTGAGAATGTTAACAGTGGATTACAGGGTGAGGAGGGAGGAATATAGGCAGGGAGATTGATAAGCAGAGACTTGTGCTGGAGGCTGAAGTTATAACATCTCCTTATAGAGATGTGAGATCAAAATACTTAATCTTGTAAAGGAGGGGAAAAAAAACCTTTCTGAAAAACAGACTCAGTGATGTCACGCTGGGTGTTGGATAGGGCTGTGGCACTGGTGGGAAGGAAATTGATGGCATGGCTCATACGGTGTTATTTCTGGCTCTGGGATGTTGACGGTGAGCAGGCGGGGCTGCCCACTAACACTCACGCCTGGTTTTGGTTCTTTTATGTTCATTGAGAGGGGCTGGGCCGTGGCTAGAACTGTCCCGGCAAGTGGTGCACGTCTGTGGCTAAAGTAATGCCGTGGGCAGTGCACAGAGACGCAAAAGAAAAACCGGACGCGACTTGCTTTCGTTTGGTGAAGTGTAACCTGCTCTCTGGTGTCTAGGCTTCAGGCAGTGCACATCTGGGCCACATTGCAATTTTCTGGGAAATTGTTCTCTGTCATCAAACCAGCTTGGAGCTGTCAGGTTCCTTTCTCCTAGGCAAAATGAAAATTATGATCTCTAGTGAGCAACAAAAGTTTAATGTATGAAGCTCTAAGGTGTTTTGGACATCAGATGGCCTTCTGTGATGAGGTCATTGTACACGATTCTAGGACAATATGGACTACGTTCCAAGAAAAATAAACAAAAGCTTAGCAAGGCAAAAACATGTGGGAGGATGCGTTTTGGGCTTTGTGGAAAGCAGAATTTTGAGCAATGGTTACAAGGCCCTAAACCATGGTCATGTTTACAAACTCATAGTTTGAGCTGTTCTTGAGTTCAAACAGCTTCATAAACATCCCAGGCTTATTTATTTTTACAAAGTAAAAAATAACCATGGGCTCGCATGTGCTTGGTGGCAGGGGAGAGGATGGGAGAGTAATACGTGCTCCTGGGTCGCCCCTTCCCTGCCTTGGATTTGGGAAGGGCGGGCGTCTCTGTGGTGGCTTTTTCTGGGTTTCTAGGGAGCGACTTCTCTTTGGAGTAGAGGCATCCTGACAGCTCCAGCAACCACACTGTGGTTGGTCTCGTTGGAGGACAAGGATGGTGCAGGTGCCAGGGGTCCTGATGGCTGGGACGATCACAGACTACAAACCTGAGAAGGGAGACTGTGATGGGGTCAGCGGGAAATTAAAGCTACTGGACAGGTTTTATCTGCATGCTGATGTCACACATGAGCAAGCGGCCTTTGCACTGATTCTGGCCTGTGGCTGTGCTCAGTTGGACAGGCATGGGGCTAACATTTTAAAATTAGCTGTCAACATTGAAAAATAGGAGATTTTCACATATTTGCAGTTTTTCTTGAGAAGTATCTCCTGACTTCTCTGGCTGGCTGGAGCTAAGTGATGGTGGTGCTGGGCTTCCATCTCCAGCCCTCCTCAGCCCCCACCAGACTTCTTGACTCTTCCATCCATCTTCAGGTTGAGCAGAGCCTGTCCACAGCATGAGCTCTGGGGCCAGAAGGCCTGGGTTCCACTTCGGGCTCTGACCTGTTCTGTGGGCAGCCACTTCCTCCCTCTGAAAAGTCTTATCTGTAAAATGAGTCAATAGAAGCAGCTTTCCATGGAGCTGCTGTGAAGACTGAAAGAGCTATCACAGTGTATTCGTGCCACATGGTTGGTCTAGCTGTGGAGAGGCTGTTTGCGTTTCTCCTGTGTTAATGATTCCAAGCTTCCCCTTCTTCACTAGGATACCTTTTCTCATAAGAACACCACGTGCCCCTCTGACGGGCTATTGTGGCTGAGCTGGCAGTAATAGCCGCACGCCCGTGTTGAGCCCCAGCTCTGCACCAATCCTTGTTGATTCTGCTCTGGTTCTAATTCCAGAGCATGTATTCACTCATTTCATCCCCCAACAACCTGGGTGGCAGAAAGAGCCATGAACTCGGGCTTCGTGTCCCACTGTGGACAATTTCTTGTGTGTCGTGGTTAAGTGGAACTCGTAAGGTATTTTTTGTGTGGCCACTTTCTTTAGAGCATGACCAGATGTAAAAGCCGGAGGTGCGGTGGCTCACACTTGTAATCCCAGTGCTTTGGGAGGCAGAGGCAGGACAGCTGCATGAGCCCAGGAGTTCAAACTCATACTTGGTCTCTAATTTAAAGAAAAATAAAAGAAAGGAAATGAAGCTAGGAAACCTTCACTGAATGCTGGCTCGGTGAGAGGATGCTCTCTGGAGGCCTGATGCAGACACAGAGGAGAGGTGGGGCCTTTCTCATTGTGCCTGCTGGGTCTTGAGTTCAGCCTTACCAGGTGACGGGGGGCGGGGGGGGCGCGGCGGTGGTGGCATGAGCCTGCGCAAGGGTCACTGCATGCCTTTCCTGCTTCCTCTGCCATAACCTGGGCTCAGGCGGACTCTCCTGGGGCCCCGATGAGCTTGTATTTCTGTGTACAGGGAGAACGAGGCGAACAGGGAAGAGCTGCCCAGCATTTTCCAAATTAAAGTCCATGTAGCAGGAGTTAGATGAGGTCTTCTCAGGGGGTCCTTGGAACAACTAAAACAAAAATACAATGGGCGCATCAGAAATGTGTTTTTATATATGTTATTTAAGAGATTTCAGTAAGCAGTGAGCTTTAAAAATGGGTTAATTTAGAGGAAAATGTTCCCTAATAATTATGATTCAGGTAGTATTCAGATCCGATGAAAGTTGTGAATAATGGACGCGAGGGAAGCATTGGATTTGCCTTTTTAGATGTGTTACGTGAGCCCTCCTCACACTCACTTCTGTGGGCATGAACATCACCTGTGATAACAAAAGCAACAGTTAGATAGAGAAATGCTCCCCAGCCTCTGCCCGGCAGGCCCACGGCTTTTATATTTCTTACTTCCAAATCCGCATGTGGTCTTTCTTCATATTTTCAGCCGATTTTTAAATAAATAATGTTTTATGAGACAGGGTTGAAGCTGAGAAATGAGGCTGTCCCCCTAGGCCACCCATAGAAGGCAGAGGTCCCTGCTGCAGCCCCTGCTCCAGGCCCTCCCTCCACCCCTGCTTCTTCCAGAGCCTCTCTCTGCTGCTTGTCTGCCTGCCTCCATTCTAGGAGCTGCCGTGGGTCCTGTCTTTTGCAAACGGTGCCTTCTGGCGACGTTTTCTTGAGGTCACTTGCTGCTAATGGGGGAAGCTTTGGAGGACACTGTAGAGAAAAAGACTGTTTGGATCCCTGAACATTCTTGAACGTTAAGCTTAGAAAACACAGTCTGTTTGTCCAATACTCAGGATTCTCTGTTTCAACTCCCCTGACCAGTGAGCACGCAGGTGGGGAAACTGAAAATAGGAAGGGTCCCTTGCTGGAATGTTCTAGCACCTTCTTTTACCTACCTGGAGACTTTGAAGGCTCAGCTCAAGTGTAACCTTTAGAGGGATGAGCTCTCGTCCAGGTGAAGTCCTCTGTCTCACGCCCTCGTTGCTCCCTCTACATTTCTTCCTAGAGCTTGCCCCGCTGATGATGGCCTGTCACTTCCTTCTCCCTTACTTCAGCTCAGTGAGGATGAGCAGAGTCTGTCTCGCCACTGCTGAGTTCTCAGGGCCTGGCACAGCATAGACACTGCACATTGAATGCATCTCCATCCAGGGAATACTGAACAAGGGCTGCTCACGACTCCTAGAGAAGTCATTTCTCCAACCCTGACCCTATAGTCAATACTGACCATACGCTCAAGCATGTTGCTAGGAGGCAGATCTCATGCGAAGTTTCTGACCACCGTGAAATAAAGTTAAATCAAAGAAAACTGATTGCATAAAATCCAAAAAAGGTCATTTTCAGCACCAACGTGCAAATCATTAGGTAATTCTTTCTTGCTTGCTCTCATTTCTTCCTCTGATTTATTGCTATGTCAGTTAAGATAATGTTATTTAATATAACAAGTAAAAGCATGGACAGTGGCAGAGAAGCCCATTCCATTGTTGGACTCCTCTGACTTTTAGTGTCTTATTTCTGATATTGGGCTAAATTCTGTCCCAAGTAACTTCTGCCCATTGCTTCAAGTTCCAGCATTACTGGAAGCTCCTGGTAAAGGCAGCCTCCTTGATTAGCTCCTCAGCTTCACCTTCCTCCCTCTGTGAATGTTTCCCTCACTTTTTTCTCACACACATTAGGAACCTCCTCTGCTTATAAACCCTAGGAGGCTCCTGAAGTCCCGAAGCAGCTGGAGCATCTGCGAATGGCCCTTCCCCTCTTCTCAGCTTTGAGTTGACTTTTTTCCCCTTTGCATTCGTTTCCTAAATGTAAAAAGCTGTCAATGATATGCTAAAATATTTGCAGGTGGAGTTTCAGGATAGAAATTTCCAGAGGGACCTGGGGGACAAATGGGGATCCAGTTACCGTCTTCCTCAGGGGATCTGGGGTCAGGGGCTTGGAGGCCTGTGAAGCAGGTGATCCTCAGAGAAGCATTCATTCAATGCACTCCTTGAACAGATGGGGAAACTGAGGCCCAGAGAGGATGCAGGATGAGCCTGAGCTGCACGATACTGTGGTACAGTGCGTCTCCAAGCACAGCTCACAGGGCCTGGGCACCAGTCGCAGGCTGCAGACTGTGGCAGTTCCCAACCCCAACCTGGACATGCTGGTTCCAAGTCTCAGTGGACGAGGCCCGAGAATCCGTGAATAGCTTTTAGCCATTCTCCCCAGGTGATTCTCGCATCTCACATGACACCACATCCCGGAACTGGCTGCGGCTGACTGTACCTGCTTGGGTTGGTGGGCGCTGTGTTGATCTTCTGTTTTTATAGTGAGACTCTCTAGATTGTCTCCAGCCAGGTGGGCAGGTCCAAATACCCTAGCCCACCAGGTTTTCAGAAATGGAGCCT